ACTCTTTCAAAAAGTTAAGGCCCAGCGATTTGCTAGATAGGGCTGGGCTGAGGATCAGACCTGTGCTCACGGCACAGAGGATCGGCCGAGGCACTGGTGGTTAGCGGCAGAGTTTGGGACACTCACCCATGCACCAGAACTAGACTGCGACCCCTGTGAGAAGCAGCCATGGGCCCGGCACAGTGGTGCGGCGGTGCTGGAGCCACGTGGAAGACGGGGTGCAGTTCTCAGGGTAACCTATACACACATGGGGTGCCTGGGTTCCTGCCTGGCGAGAAAGGCAGGGGAGGATTGTGGCGTGAGAGCCTGTTGAGGTGCCCCCCTCCCATGAAATACCAACTTCCAGGAGGTGGCAGCCAAAGCTCAGCCGGCCTATGCCACCTGGGCAGAGCGAACACTGGCACAGGTCAGGTACTGGAATGAGGAGTCACTTAAGTGAGGCCTGGGGGTGGGAGCCACTGCTCCAAAGCTCTGCGTTCTGGAACAGCGCTGGAGTGTTTCTAGAGAGCATTTCCACAGAGCGACTTCAGCTAGACAATCTGGCAAAGTTATAAAATGACTGTAAAATGCAAGTGAGTATGGAGTTTTAAACTTGCCATTTTCCCTGTTCACTAGGATTTCTTAGAGGAATTGTGAAATATTAAACGGCATTATAACTGCAAAATACGCACATGCCTCAAACTGAGTATGTGGCTTATACCCCAAAGACGAGAAAATTCTGTGGGCAGATACCGACACTGGGGAAGGGCTGCCACCAAGAACTGTGCACGTGCTTTTCCAGGACACAGCTACGGCCTAAAGCAAAACGAACATGTATTGAAGGTTCCTTCAAGCAAGCAATTCTGTAATTGTATTAGTCTGGTGCTGTCCTTCTGGATTTGCCACCTCGGTGATTCCCCCCGGCTGTCCTCTCCCGCTGTGTATTAACAACCTTGTTTCATTCTTTGAGAAGTTAGGAAGCACTGCCATTTCATAGTTGAAGAAGAGGCCATCTAGTCTCAGGCAAAATTAAAACCATTTGGTGTTCTGTACCCCGGCCTTACTGAACAGCACCCCCACCATTAGCAAAGCATGACAGGGGCCAGGTGAAGTTGGAGAGGGACATTTCTCTTTATTTTAGAAATGAGAATGGCTGCACATGTGAAAAACGCCGCTTAGCAATTCAAGGGGGAAAAACATACATAAAAATTACCCCCCACCCCCACTCCTTGGTACTCAATGCCGCATGTCCCACTGAGGTAAGGCTGTGCCAATTTCCCACGGGCTAAAAACAAAACCAAACCACCCTAATAAAACCTCGCCTCCGTGCTGTACGAGTCCCAGGGCTCGGGCCCCTCAGTCAGACTTCTCCTTCTCCTTCATGTGTAAGAAGACGATGCTGAAGATGAAGAGCCCCGCCATCATGGAGAAGGCACTGGCGTAGTAGGGGTAGGCCGAGGGGATAAAGCGCTCGTACTGCGTGTGCTGGAGCGGCCGCACAGACACCTGCAACAGACGGGCATGGCAGGCCCTGGCCACGGGGCAGTCCAAGCAGACACCCGCTGCTGAGAACAGGGCCCGTCCCGCGCTCACCTGGGTGGAAGAGTACAGGTGTGTGTAGCCCAGACGGTTGTAATCCACCTTGAACTGGAACACACCATACACGTCGGGCAACTTGAACTGGACGCTGTATCTGCCACCTGGAGAAGAATCGAACGGATCAGCGGGCAGGGTTTCCCGGGACACTTCTCCGTGGGCCTCAGCGAGAACACGGTCTCCTGCAGCATTAGGCTTACCTTTCTTCTTCAAGAAGGTCCTCACGAAAGGATCGATGCGCACAAACTCCAGCTGAATGTCATCACCATCAAAGGGGACCCACCTGCCGTTGGAGAGCTGCTCAATCACGATGCTGTACTCCTGGGAGAGGAGGCAGGGTCAGCCGGGGTGGCCCGTGCCCTGGGCAGAGCTGCCACCTGCACAGGGCTGTGCTGCTCTCTCAGCAGTGAGCATGGTGGGAGCTCCCAGCCAAAGGCCCTGCCAGCGCTGACAGCCTCCTCGGTGAGGTGACCACTCTGACTCAGCATCTCTGCCTCTCAGAGGCCACGGCCAGAGCAGACCTCACGGCCCACTGACGCTGGAGCCCAACGTGTCCTCCATTCCCTAACACACCAGGTGCTCTCGGCACGCACGCTCCAGCTCACCGCTATCCTGCCCTTCCCTGCTGGACTCATCCTGAAGACCCAACTGAAGTGCTGCCTTCCCTGTAGATCTGACTTGCTGGGCAGAGTCTACCAGTGAAGGCCCCTCCCGCTGCTGCATTCCCACAGCCACACGCACAGCACACAGCTCACTAAAGAAGGTCCTAGCAGGACACCGGTCCATGTGCCAGGCTCCACCTAAACCAGCTTTCTTCGGGGAGGAGGTTAACTTATCCTTATTTCTGCCCCCTTAGGCCCAACACAGACGTGTTCAATAAATGCTTTCAAGACGAACTGAATCGCCTTGGCCAAAGCTCGGGCCCTCCCACCCGAGACACTTACCACCAGGTCAGTGATGGTGTAGGCATTGGGCGGGGCTGTCTCACCCACGCGGTGATGGGACACCGGCCCCACACGGAGGACACCTTCCTCCTTGAACACCCAGCGGGAGAGGGCCACAGCTAGCTCATAGTTGCCCGTCTGGGAGTACCTGCAGGGGGAAACAGGAGAGGCTGGGGCACCAGGGCCAAGCTCTGTCCTGAGGGGCCCGATGGGCACAACTGCTCAGGCCCACCAAGGCAGTGCATTCACGACG